GACCCCCCTACAACATCTCCAAGCCGTCCTCTGCCTGGTCCCTCGTCGCCCAAGGCAATGGCCAACTTGTCCCCTTCCTCGACTCAATATCGCCCCCAGTCTCGCCATACACCTTCCCCTGACTTGCCCCCTCCCTCATACACCTGGCCCACTCCCGCTTCGACATCCCGTCGCGCATACAACCCGTCCCAAGACTTCTTCCCTTTTGCCCAGCCAGACTCGTCATCCTCGCAGTTGCGATCCAGCCAGCAGCCGCAGCCATTTCACATATCTTCTTCGACCCCTCATGCGTCATACTCTCAATCTCCTTTCCACGCAACGCGACTGTCTTCTGCATCCCCTGCGTCAACGGTCTCACTTAGCCAGCCACCTTCAATTCACTCCCCTAGTTCACCCCTTCTCTACACACAACGGTTAGCACCATCCCCGGCTGGATATTACCACTCTCCCGCATACGCCAGTGTCCCTCGATACGACACCTTCCAGGCTCCTATCTCCCCCAGTCCCGGACACTCCCGCCATGCAGAACCTGTGGCCTCGTCCATGCACCATTCGTCACTCTCTCGCATCTCGACGACAACTTCATCCTTTCCTCAGACCCTCCTGAACCCCGTTTCCGTTTCCCCCCAACAGTCTCCTCTTGGTGGGCTCGAAGCCCTCGTCCAGGCTGCTACAGTAGAGCGGGACAGGCTTGAGGCTAAGGCCAGCCTAGATCGTAGGCCTGACACTACCCGTTCCGCTGTTCAAAGGAGCCCCGAGCTGCACTTCCGTTCGGCCCTCGAAGCCCCTCGTATGCATCTTCAGGCTCCTGCACCTCGCACCCCAATTACACCCACCATCATTTCGGGTCCTCTTCTGCGTGACTCATATTCTGAGTCCTCTCTCAGGATCGGCGTCAGCCCTGAGGCGTACCCTTCTAAGCGCCGGCGTCAGTCAGACTCTAACTCTAGTTCCGACCGTAGCTGGGATTCGCTACCGTCTTGGGACTCGTCTTCACAATTCAGTGGACTAATGGGACCAGGAATTAAGCCACACGGGTTTTCATCAGGGGCTCGTACAGAGGTGCGCCCCCCTCTCGCCGTGTCCTCGCAGGACACAGAGGAGGCGGGAACTAGGGGCAGACGCGTGTCTCCAGTGAGGAATCATGGGGCCAGAGCGCAATCAACGGTAGAAGAAGAAGAGTGTACGTTCCAACCCTGCTCCCCACCTTATCGTGACTTGGCTCCTCCTGCGACTATCCCCCCTGGCGCGGGTCAGCATATCCTCCTGACCGCAGAACCGCGGCCAAGTCTGCACCAGGATATACGATCCAGTGTCGACTCTCATCCGCCACGACAGAAGATATCCCATTCAAGTGTGATATTGGAAAAGCATAGTGCTACACCGAGTCCCGAGTCCCCTTCAGCATTGTCCACGCTCCTGGGACCATCGGCGCCCCCAACTTCTGTGCTACAACAACAAATATTGGCTCCCGAGGAGGACGAAGGACGCAGCACACAGACTCACACCCCGCCACGTAGCAACTCCACAGCTTCCGTGGTCACACTCTCGCCAAAGTCCATCGAAGTGCAAAGTGCTGACAGTCTAGAGGAAACGATAAACCTTACTTCCATACGGGCCGCTTCTGCGCAAGAATCCCCTGTGGCATTACCAGAGTCTTTGCCACCTGACATCGACAAATCGCCAACCGCGAAACACGGCGACCGTGTCATTATAGCTTCGCCATCGACATTGAATGCCCTTGACGACGACCCAAGTTCTGCTGTGCTTGTCAAGTCACTATCACCACCGCTACCTCACTTGTAATGTACGCGGCACAGACACTGCCCAGGTAGTCCCAGATGCCGAATTAAGCCCAGGAATCCCCGACCTGCCCCCACATGAAGATGCCCCTTATCAACCCCCTTCAGAGCATGAAGCCGAACGCCCTCCCGCCACCGCCTCACCGTCACCACAACCTCCTTCACCTGCTGCTGCTCCCGTCTCCAGAGACGAGACTAATCCCGATCACCCTATTGAGGCGTGGATATCTAGCGCTTCTGAAACTCGTGCGGCTGCATCCGATCCGGAACTCGAGATCCCAGTGAACGCTGAAACGTCACTTATCTCATCCGGAGTTGATAAAGTGGTGAGATCGCGTGCTGCCACACCACTGGTTGCAGAGTCCAGTCCTCTTCCAATGCTAGATGATCTCCCGAACATTGATGATACATCTCCCTCAATAATTATCGATGAAGACGACGAGGCTCCCGCAATGGACTCGAAGCAGAGCCAGATCATAGAGCAAAGGCATGTAGACATGGATGTCGATGAAGAGCTTCTCAGTCTCATTGGGGATGATCTGCCTTCGCGTGGCTCGCAGACTAAATCGAAGAAGCACGAGTTTGTTTCATCTGAGGGGAAACATTCTTCTCGTTCCCCTCTTCTCAAACAGGAATCCACACTTAATACATTGACCCCACCCGATTCATCTCCTGTTGTAACCGCCCCTGCCCACGCGATCAAGCAGGAAAGGGCTTCAGTTCTTCCGACAGATACAGCCGTGGGTACTCGTGATTCTGAAACCAGCGCTCTGAAACTAGAGGAGCGGCCATCTCAGAAAAAGAAGGTGATTTCACCAGATACTGGCTTTTTGCTCGCCCAACTGACTCCCACAAGGCAAAGCATCATCCACAGCCTAAGAGCCGTGTAAAACCCAGCGGCTCAACGAAAACGAAGCCTAAGACATCCTCTGATGGGCCATCGGTAGCGCCATTCAAAAGCAAGAAATTGTCCGCCAACCCAACGAAGAAATCAGTTTTTTCTTCGCGATCTAGGTCCACGTCAGTCATGCCTACGGGTACAAACTCTGTACCTGGTTCGGAGAACAAAGCGCCGGGTGAGGCAGATCACGATGATGGTGAGGAAGGGACGGAAGACAAGTTGTACTGCGTCTGCAAGACAAAGTACGACGACGAGAAAGGTTATGATCGCTTGCGACCGGTACGGCACCGCTTGAATCTTGGGTTACATCGACTCATTCTTCGGCTTTCTCAGGTGTGACGAATGGTATCACACCGCGTGCGTCCACATGCCAGACCTAGAGGTTGATCTTGTTGACCAGTTCATTTGCCCGCTTTGTGTGGAAAGTGTGTACACTGGCCAGCCGTCCTATGTCATGTGTACTAACGCTGTGTGAATGATGTCTAGGGAATCCCCACCTTGACTTACGCACGACCTGGAAGCGCCGTTGTCTTAATGGGCTCAGGCAGCGCGACCCCAATTCACCAGATGTGTGTCACAAGCCCGCGCGCGGCGCATTCTCCAAATATTGTTCCGACGAGTGTGGTGTGCAGTATATGCACATGCGCATCTCCCTCTGGGTGGAAAACGGTGGAAACCAGGATCGACTCTGGGAGACCGTGAAGGGCGCAGAGCGGCGCGAAGGTGTCGTAGCGTCGGCGCGTATCCTAGACGAGCGATCTCGTTCGACCATAAAAGCAGAAGATAGGGCAACGTTGGCAATCGTCCCGCCAAAAATCACCAAGGCAGATCGTGAACTTGCAAGGCTGCGCGCACGACTCGAAACACTGGTTCAAAAGCGTGAGGCGCTGAAAGCCGAAATGGACGTCGTCGCTTGGCGTGAAAAGGTGACGGAACTTGCCATCCAGCATGCAGACACCATCGAGCAATGCGGATGGGACCAGCGATTGTGCTTTGGTGATGAGGAGGTGGCCGAGTTTGGTGCGAGTGTGCTGGAGAGTTACGAAGAGGGTCAAACCGATGTAGACGGCACGCAAGAGGAGGCCGAATGGTGGTGCGTGGGTAAGAAGAAGTGCGATCGGCATTCTGGGTGCGCTTGTCCCTCACTTCGACAGTTGTCACACTCTGATAATTACCTCAGTTGGCAGAAAGTGCGCGTGGCAGAGGTCGAATTTGACAAAGAGATCAAGGACCAAGCATTGCAAAAGCTGACAAAACTCGAGCGAGAGATTCGAAAACGTGTAGAGGATATCCTCGACCCCCAGGTCCACCTCGGTAATACGAAGATGCTCGAACCCTCTTCACCTTTGTCAAGACCAACTGTCAATGGACAGTCGAAGCACAAGCCCAATGGAGATCTAAGGAAGAAGGGAAAGAAGAAAAAAGAGTAGTAGTACACGTCCCTGAGTACCCACATCCATATTCTGTCAGCGTCTTCATTCGAGCTCGAACACGGGGGAAACGGAATGACCTGTAAACATAATCTACGACTGGACATTGTCCCCACTTCCTCTGGGGCTTAATGAATCTGCCGGAAAGCGGGGACCTCATAAGGATGCGATGCACCTCAATAACCATCTCCCTCCCCTCCTTCCTTGCAGAACCCTTTCTGCTCATACAAAATCTTTGCCTTTACTTCCTCCCTCTGTTTCTTCGCTGCCACATCCTGTCGATAGTAATCGTCGAGCTGCTTGTAATCGACCTGGCGTAGTGGGACATCGTCTTCTTGATCCAAATCCTACAAACGCGGTTATAAAAAGGTGTGGAAGGGAAATGCGCGAGAGAAGGCACGATTTCGCCCAATAGAACAACGTTCTCCCCTCGAATGAGGAACAGCCCACACCACTTTTCAGCGAATGTGTCGCCTGCGTATATTCGCTCTACCGTATCCTCGAGGACAAGATTCGCTAACAGTGGACGTTCAAATTTTCCGTGCGCAGGGACGCAACAGACATACCGAATTGGTCATAAGAGCGCAGCACTCCGTGAAGTTTCCGGCCATCGCGTAGGACGACAAGCATCTTTCCTGGGTACGCGGAGATGCACTTGACTGAAGCACAAGCAGCGGGGCTTGAGCAGACGTACTGTCCACACAGTCCACTAGTGAGCCGGATGTTGTGAAAGGGATGAGGGAGTCCATTGACTGCGACCGTGTTCCGTACAGTACGAAGGGCGACACTGACCGCGGAGTCCAGCAATGAGTGAAAAATCAAAAAGGACAATTATATATAGGGTTCAATTGTTCTCCGTCACAATATGCTGATATGGCCGAGTCGTTAAGGCGAGTGATTTGAATCACGTTATCAATGTGACAAACATCACTTGGGCGTTGCCCGCGTAGGTTCAAATCCTGCTGTCAGCGTTTCTTTTTCACTAGCCCTCCACTAGTCATCCGGGTGGTCTTTCCATACCTCGGTGAACTTCCTCCGGGCTAAGAATGACAAATAACCAGTGATCCTCCTCTGTTTCTACCTACAACTTCTATAGTTCTTGTAGGCAATGAGTTCTACAACCATCACAGGAGATGATCAACATTATTGCATTTTTAGCCATCAAAGGGATGGGTTCAGATTCTCTGGACCATCATGACAGTAGTTCTCCAGAAAACCGCTAAGACGCAGTAGAAGATTTGCCAAAGTATTCCCACTGTCCTGGCTCTGGCTTCTCTTCCAGAGGCTCCCATCTACCCCAGTGTCAGTCCACCGTACCAATAGACATTGTGCGGAGACCTACGCCTTCCACTCGGCCATCTTGGCCACCAGATTGAGTTCGTCTTTGGCGACCTCGATGGCTTGCTCAATCTGCCCCTCGTCCAACTGCTTTTCGACTTCGGCGATATCTCCATTCGCGTCCTGCACTATCTTCAACTTTCTTAGAGTGAGGGATTCCGTGCCCTGACGGTAGGCGGCATGCTCGGGGATGGATGAGAGTGCGGTGAGCGTCGACTCGTAGGTCTTGGTGAGCTCCGGGAGTGGGTTGGGGTGGACGGGAAGGCCATGTATGCCAGTAGATAACTTGGACACTTGTTGAAGTAGCGGTCGCGTGAAACGGAGCATTTCAGCTTTGTGCTTGCAAGAGGTCGACCGTGGTGTCGGGTGGGTGTTGGCTCGTCGGAGTTCAAACGCGCGCCTCTGCTCACTCTCATCTCATCATGGCCTCCGTGGCCACGATTCCTCGTCAACTTTTCGCGATGTCCTCCTTATTATTTGCCCCATTTCCATCCACCGTTTTCCGGACCTCGTGGTCAATACCCTTTCTTCCGTCGCTCCTCGACCTCATCCCGCCGTTCCTCCTCGCCGTACCCAAAAAGAAAGTATCACATTCCCGAAAAGCTATGCGTAGTGCAAACAAGGGCCTCAAAGATAAACAAAGTGAGGGACTATTTTCAGAACGTGTCTTTTGTCGTTCTCAACAACTGTACAGATTTGGTGCATTGCCCTGGATGTGGTTCGGCAAAGCTCGCGCATCATTTATGTCCCCAATGCTACTCTAGCATAAACCGTGCGTGGAAGTCGAAGGTCATGAACAATGGCTCGGAGGTACCCTCGTAGCGTCTAGGAGTTGGCCGTGCCTCGTTACAACCCTGGAAAACTCGTGCTACAAGCCAGCCGTAGCTGCTCTCATTACCACGTTCATTTCAGACAGCTCATTATTTACGCCCAACCGAGCTAATTGTTCGCATTCGGACTCGAGACATCCTATCTGGAATTACAACCAGCAAAAAAGGGTGGCCTCTAGGGTGGTTATCCAATATGTGCTCGAACGTAATCCTCTACTATCTTACCCAATGCATTAAGTCCATGAGTCCAGAGCGAGAACCACACCCACGCAAAAGTAAAACCGTAGGTGCAACCCACAAGCACCTGCGCTATAGTGTGGTGCCCCAACCAGATCCTAGAACTGGGAACCGTGAATGCCCATGGAACTGCCACCAGCGTCACCAGGGGACGGAATAATGAGCTTTCCGGGAGCGACGGATGCAACGGTAGCCATACACAGGCCATGGGGATGTAGGTCCCGTAGAAGGTGATGGTCGCAGAATGCGTACTGGGCATCCTGGGGGCGCAGGTGTTGAATGCGTGCTCGATGAACCTCTAAGCTTCTACTACATACCCGTACGATTTCTTTTGCCTATAGTGGGTGGTCTGCACAGGACGCGATTGGTGCAGGACGAGCTTGAGAATTTTGACGGTCACCGTGCAGGCCAGCGCCCCCGCAGAGAAGTAAGCAATGCCAGCAGAGCGGGTGTATATGACGGCGAACGCTGTCAGGGCTGTTACCACTAGGTTGGTCTATCAATTGAGACGTGTCAGACTCGCGCAAACCCTCGGTGGAGATATATATCACCGCCTACGAACATGGTCAAGAAAACGTAAAAGGGGATTGTAAAACATCACACGACGCGAATAGCCCCACATGTGAGGAGAATGGAAGAGATACGAGGTCAGGGTTTGGTCAGGGCTGCGCGTTTGTGGCTCTTACTAGTACCCGACAGCCAACATCGATCGTGGGCGGCTTCACATGAGCTCTATTTAAAGTTCATGTTGTTGGCGATACTGTATTGATGTCGTTATCATACAGTATCACGACACGGCGACAGCCAACCACGTAGTACTTCTGTTCAAGTCGGCCGCCATCCCTTGTCAACAACACAATCCTCTTAGGAGATACGCCATGCTGTAACGGTAACGTACAGCAACAGTACGCTAAGACGACACGACATTACATCTATTGAATCATGAACATCTTGACCGCGACTATTCTCGCTCTAGTAGTATTGGCGGGATTTCGCGCATATTTCTCTCGTCGAACCAGCGATCCGTATGGAACATTCCACATCCAATTCAATAAAGTTCAAGGGGGTCCTGATTCCCCACAAACAGAATGGTTGAACATGGGATTCTGGAAGGTGCGACGCATTGCTTCTATCCTCCCATCTTTATTCGTTTAATTACTGGGTGTAGGACACCATATATTCCCAGAAGCGTGTCAAGGTACTACAATCCCGTTGTTCTCACGTATGTTAGGGCTACTCACAAACTTTGTAGCACTGGCTCTTCGGTTGTTTCGTGTAGCTGGTCTTAAGCCTAGCGGGCGGGTTCTAGGTGAGTTTTCGTATTACGTCTTTGTTTCGTAGACATTGTCTAAAATGGACAGACGCTGGCCACGGCTGTGGCGATTCGATACTTCTGCAACTATCCCATCCAGGGGTAGCCAAGCCATCCCTGTTATGTGGGATAACGAGTCTCCCCTCTCACCACCACCGTTCGTGGGAAAGAGTGAATAGTTTTCTGTCTTCAGGTCGATGCACCAGGGGGATGCCCCAGCCGTGCTCTTGTTTCAGGGTGATGCCGTCTGGCGCCCAGGGCGCCAGGATCATCCACTCTCCCCCAGCTTTCAGCACGATTTCGACAACATCCTCGCACTTGACTGTGCATACCACTTCGACACCCGTGAAGAATTTCTTCGTCAGTCTCTCCGCCGCCTAGCTCCCGGCGGCAGTGTTGCCCTAGCTGACCTCTGCTTCTCCTCGTCTCCTGGGCCGATGTTGACGCTCTTGTTGTGGCGTGTGCTCCACACCATGCCAAAACATAACATCACAACCAAAGAACAATATATACAACAGATGAGAGATATTGGCTACGAGGACGTCGAATTGGAAGACATTACGCCTTTTGTCTTCCCTGGCTTCCGAGTGTTCATGGAAGCAGCGAGGAGGCATGGGGGGCGCATTCTCGTGGTTGATGTCGTGGTTAGAGGGGCGAGGTTTGCGTTTTGTAATCGTTAAAGGTACACGACCGTTGTAGTCTTGGTCCCCAATAAGCGGCGTGCACCTCACCGAAATGTGAGACTGGATCGTTGAGAAACCTCGTTGAAAGAGTACGGTATCATGAACGCAGGCCAAAATATATTCATTAGAAAATATTTTATGTTTATTAAGGGGTCTATCTCGCAGTTTTTGTTCTCAGAGAGATTATTTACGCACGGTCAAGTGACGCTTCAAAAAAACATCCAATCTACGCGCATACATACTCGGGCTGCCGGTCTACGTGATGGCACTGGATGATTTTGTTATGACGCTGGACTCCGACGAAGATTCACCCTCTGAGGCGGTCACACATACAAAATCCTCGGGGTCGAAGGTGGTTGATGAGGCCCAGTTGGATCCCGCCTTGACTTTTGATATATCGGGAGATCCTTACAGTGACCTCTTTCACGGGGAAGCAAATTATACGGACATAGTAAAGAGTGGCTCGAAACCGGTGCGCTTAATCAGTGCTCCGTGCTGTTCACTGACGAAGATAGTAAACTAGAGTCCAATATCTGTGGATGATATCATAGCGAGGCGAAGATTCCGTGGCAGCTCCGGAAAGCGCGAGCACCAAGAAGGTAGTGATGAATCAAGTGGGGGAAGCAGCGGACTGGAAAATTTCGAATTTCATGAAGAAGACGATCCCGATGACGAGGAGTCCGTTCTTCTTGAACACGACGAGGAAGAAGCTCGAAAATTTGACGATCCGTTGGCAACATCTGACGAGACGGGTAATGAATCCGATGGCGCTGACTCTCAAGAGGAGAAATCTGAACTCGAATTGGAAGACACCGGATCTTCTGGCGATGACAGTGCATCAGAGACCGCGGCCCAAAAAGCGAAGAAGAAAGCATTCTTTTCTTCGGACGCACCTTCTTCCGAGCAGCATTCATCGTTCCTCACCATGAATCTTTCCCGTCCTGTTCTTAAGGGTCTTACATCCCTTGGTTTTCACACGCCTACTCCAATTCAAGCTGCCACGATTCCAGTTGGTCTTCTAGGAAAGGACGTTGTCGGTAACGCTGTTACTGGGTCTGGGAAGACCGCCGCCTTTATTATCCCCATGATCGAGCGTCTACTCTATCGGGACCGAGGCAAAAGGGCGGCAGCAACGCGCTGTCTCGTTCTTGTCCCTACTCGCGAACTGGCTGTTCAGTGCTACGACGTCGGAAAGAAGTTAGCTGCTCACACTGATATCCAATTTTGCCTTGTAGTTGGTACGCATAGAGGTTCCCTGTCGTCGCCAGGATTGACCTCAAGTTAGGTGGGTTCTACAGGTGGGCTATCGCTCAAGTCACAAGAAGTTGCTTTGAAAGCGCGGCCAGACGTTGTTATCGCTACACCCGGACGCCTCATCGACCACCTCCGTAACTCTCCGGCGTTTGCGCTGGATGCCCTCGACGTTCTTGTTCTTGACGAAGCTGACAGGATGCTGTCAGACGGCTTTGCGGGACGAACTCGGTGAAATAATCAAAGCATGTCCTGTTTCCAGGCAGACCATGCTCTTCTCTGCGACAATGACGGACTCTGTCGACGAGCTCATCAAGATG